CACCCATGATGAGCCGCCGCCGCCGCGCCCTCGCCGGTCCCCGGAGTCAGGCCGGGACTCGGCAGCGAGTCCTAGTCGAGCCTGGGCGCCGCCACCTCCGCCGCTCCGGGCCTCCGGGTCCCAGCCAGGTCGGCCAGCAACTTCCACGTCGTCCACCCGGAGAGGGGGCGGGACCTGGGGGGGCGAGAGAGGCTACTGCGCCTGCGCGCCGCCGGGGCACGCCGGTCTGGGCGTCCGCGTCGGCGTTTTCGACGCACAGCCTCAGCGTGCTGAGCGGAGCTGACGTGCCGCTCGCTCCACAACGATCACCCAAAAGGAAAAAAAAAATTTTTTTTTTTAGAAACTAAAAATCAGTCTCCTAATTCCTATATTCAAACCGTCACGGTTTGGTGTTTTTAAATCCTGACACCGAGTCGTGGCGAATCGGCCAGCGCAACGTAAGAGTCGGAGCGCGGTGGCGCGAGGGCACAGGATGCTGGCGCACAAGTGTGCGGCGGCGTCGCGGCGGCTGTGGATGGCGCTGCGGTCTGCGGGGGCGCGTCCGCTGCTTCCCAGATGCTCTCCCGCAGCGGCAGCCGAGGTTACGTAACAATAACGGGAAAGCTTCCCCCCTTGCTCCCTGCGTGCCCCACACACACACACGGAGCAGCCTCCGCCCGAGGTGTCCTAATTTTTTGTCCCCTAGGTGGTCACCCGACCACCTTCCCGCCTCCGCAGGACTGGGGAGTCACTGCCCCCTGCGACTTAGGTCGGAAGTGAACGCGTAGTTTCCGATCGCTGCTGGGTGGTGTCGGAAGGGGTTGGGTGGCCCCGGACATTGCTAGCCACGCGCCCCGCTTCCGCGCCCGGGCTCGGGGGCTCGCAGGCTCGCAGGCTCGCGTGCGGTCCGGGATCGCATCCACCCATAACCCACCCACCCAGCGCCATGGCCAAGGCCGGCACCGCGGCGGCGGCTGCGAGTGCAATGGACGTCCATGCGGCCTTGAGAGAGGTGCTGAAGACCGCCCTGGTCCACGACGGCCTCGCGCGAGGAATCCACGAAGCCGTCAAAGCCTTAGGCAAGGGCCAAGCCCGCCTGTGCGTGCTCGCCGCCAATTGTGATAAACCGATGTACGTCAAGTTGGTGGAGTCCCTCTGTGCGGAGCACCAGATCCACCTCGTGAAGGTTGATGACAGCCAGAAACTCGGGGAATGGGCAGGCCTCTGCAAAATCGATCGGAAGGGGAGACCCCGTAAAGTGATAGGGTGCAGCTGTGTGGTGGTGAAGAACTATGGGAAAGACTCTCAGGCCAAAGATGTCATTGAAGAGTACTTCAAATGCAAGAAATGAACGGCAACCACAAAATTGGCGCATTTTCTTTTAAGTTCCTAAAAACGTAGACAAATAGCATTTATCTCAAAGTCTTGAGTTTTCGCCGGAAATGGCAGCACTTTTTAGGTTCTCTTCCAAATGTAAATTTCGTGTATTATGTTCTTATTTATTCATGGAAATTTTCATCTCTTTGGAAGTTTAAGAACTGCATGAGATTTGGTCTAGCATTAAGGTTTAATTGACAAAATCATATGTATGCTGCACAATGTGATGTTTTGATATGCATATGTATATACTATATAATCATTTTGATGTATATATATATATGCATGCACGTATGTTTGACATACTAATTTACTTTGTATAAATACCCCAAAGTGAATACTACAGTATTTATTTTATTTTTTGAGAACCTCCATACTGTTTTCCACAATGGCTATAATACTTTACATTCCTACCAAGAATGTCTATTTTGCTTTTTACTTAAATTTACTATATAGATGTTGAATTAAATCTTCCAACACCCTCATCACCCAAAGTCCTAGATTCACAGAAACATTCCTTACGAGGAAAAATTGTCCCAGGAAGTGAATTTCTACCTAGACACCTGTGAGGTCTGGAGAGTGATCTACGGTAGCCACAAATGAGTTTATTAAGTATACAATAAGCAAAGGTAAGACATTAAATAGCCTGTAGGAGATAGAAGCAACAGATAATAAAACATCAGTTCAAGGTGCTCACAATATCCAGCAGAGGCAAACTGAGAGAGCAAACAAAAGGTGGCATCCAATCAGGAACTTAAACATCCAGAAGTCGGCGAGAATCCTCACTGAAGCAACCACCTCGAGTTCCAGAGTGTCCCCTTAGGTGGGGCTTCCGTGTAAAAGAACAAATGACCGCAGATACACCATCGAGTCAGGCTCTTGCAGCCATCCAGCAGAAACCAACTGGGCCAGCCCCAAAAGCGAAGCCAGATGTCACCATTTGAGAATTCCAAGAGCACAGCATCCATTCCACTGGTGAGCTTCCACTAGTGAGCTTCCATCCACTGGTGAGCTTCCCATGGCTGCATGGCTGGCTTTCCACTTTCATTCTAGCCGTTTTTATAACATGGAGTAAACACTAGTAATTTCTGTTAGAAATGCTTCTCTTTCTAGCTGTTCTCAAGGACACAGCAATTTTTGTTTTGTTTTTGTGTTTGTTTGTTCCTTTCTGCTTTTCTCTACAGGTTGCAGAGCCACAGACCAGGCTCACTCAGCACAGGGGAGGGGAGGGAGTTTTAGGATGGTTGACCCTGAAGGAGTACAGCCAGCCCTGCCTCCAGCTTCAGCTTAAAGAGCACGTGACACTTTACCAATCAATGCCATTAAACACCTGAGCCTTTTGAAGGTTATTTGTACAGACTGCCCTGTCTTTGCATGCTTCACACATGAAGCAGGCTTATGATTCCACTGGCCTCCCCCGTTCTTTCCCACCTGATCTCCGACCTGAGTTGCTACACTTGGCAGGTCTTGGTTATTGCTACTTCAAACCTGTGCTCTTATAGATTTATCTCTGAGTACAATTGCAGAAAATACCTGAGGGTATGGATTCTCTTTAAAAGAGGCCAAAAGGAAAACTTTGCCACATTTGTAAGTCAACTAATAGACAACACTATAAAGGATGGGCAGCACACACCTTTGATCCCAGCACTTGGGAGACAGAGGCAGATGGGTCTCGGTTTTCAAAGCCAGCCTGGTCTACAGAGTGAGTTCCAGGAGAGCCAGGGCTACATAGAGAGACCTTGTCTCAAAAAAGAAAGAAAGAAAGAAAGAAAGAGGGAGAGAGAGAGAAAGAAAGAAAGAAAGAAAGAAAGAAAGAAAGAAAGAAAGAAAGAAAGAAAGAAAGAAAAGAAAGAAAGAAGAAAGAAAGAAAAGGTGTAGCTGAAAATTTTCCTGTTTGTTTGTTATATATAATTTTACTGTGTTAAAGTTAAAACTTTCCTTTTTAATTAAACAGAAAAGAGGAAATGCTGTGGGATAATGCTTTTGTACACTGGTTTAATAAAACACTGGTGCCGGCGGTGGTGGCGCACGCCTTTAATCCCAGCACTCGGGAGGCAGAGCCAGGCGGATCTCTGTGAGTTCGAGGCCAGCCTGGGCTACTAAGTGAAT